ACATTCGAGTGTAAGAGATGAATAAATGTAGGGCGGGACTTGGTTCTGTGCTTAGGTTGTTGATTGGATGCTGAGATGTGGGCGTGGCTCTTAAATGCATATGGAAATGAGCTGCAGGGGCGGAGCTTAAGAGCACAAATTGATTGGAAAAATCCTACATAGGTCACCACAGAGTGGAAGATCCAGTTATGATGTTTTGATTAAACATTACAATGTCAAAAAAAATTTTTTTAAATAACATATGCATGGACGAATTGCTCATAAGATGAGCTTTTACATGCATTTTAAAAATGCATGTTATTTGCATTTTATTTGCATGTTATTTCACACTGACTGTAATGGTAGAAAATAGTTAATTAGACACATCGAACTGAATTTGCACCTCAAGGCAGCAGCTGTCAGTGTCTGATAATAATAAAATCATATGCAATATTGGCTGAGAATCTGTACCTGATTATTATGTAAGTCCAGAACGTCAAGTTTAGTGAGGCCGTCCACATCACAGATCCTCTGGATTCTAGGACAAACATTCATTGATCACTGATTAATGCATTGAATGCAGCAGTGTGAACAGAAAACACATTCAGAGTGACTGAAGGGAGTCGTGTGAACAGGAGAAAAGTCATTAAAGTCACTGGGTTTGCGTGCGACTCCCTCGAGACGCAGCACAGAAGCGGTTCTGAGAGGAGAGATCCGTTACGGACTCACAGAGAAACACTGACAGAGAGTAACGAGATCCTGCAGCATTCAGCATGAGAAAGCTTCACACAGAGAGAGAGACCAGGAGAACGTGACGGCTCAGATTTCACCCCAACATGAGAAATGATATAATGCAGAACTGAAGCCTGTGTGGAAACGACCAGATCATATTCCCAAAAGAAAAACATCAAACTCAATTTGAGGAGCATTAAATCGGTTTTGCATTGTGTCATTTTTTTCACAACAATTATGCATTTAATTATGAAGCATTAATATTATGCACCTTATAATGCGTTGTATGACCTCATGAATAATTGTAACCACGTTTATAATACTTACCTATTTATTGTTACACCTTTAGAAAATTGTTGTGAAAATAATGTCACAATGTAAAAAAGATTTAATGCTCCTCAAAATGGGATTGATGTTTTTGTTTGGGAATGTGATCTAGACGTTTCCAAACATCAGAATGCAACTTATTCAATAAAACATACGAGCTTTAGTTCAGATATCAAACGCTGACAGTTTAATTGGAGTCATGTTGGTTTTAAGAGCAGGGCGTGAGCATTCCTGTGAGATTACACATCTACAACAGGATGAGAGAGTGTGTGTTTGTGACCCGGCAGCCCACACACACACACACACACACACA